ATCTCTCACCTGAATATGTAAAGTAGAATGCTGGATATAAAAATAAAATCTTCATTTAAAGCCTATGCTGTGACAGTCAAGTCTGACATGACTACTACTGTAATTTCTGCTCTTGCAACAAAGATACAGAATTGTACCAATGTCATTGTGGAGTTGCAGAACTCAGATAAGGGATTGACTGCATTGTGCTGCTGTCAGTTCATTAGCGTGTGGGCATTCTCATTAAAATCACTGGGAGCAAATGAGCTAAACAGGGATGCACTGAGGAGTAGCAGAGCTTGTCCTCTCATTGAGCTGCATAGGAATTCTTCTTGGGTAGTGACTCGTGGGTTTGCTCTGGTCTCATGGGCCACTTCAGTGCAAATGAAATCATAGTGACAGTATCTTAACTTCTCTGCAGAGTAAAAGCAGAAATAGGTATTGGACGATGCAGGAAGAAATATTTGTTTTACATAAGTACATTCTTATAGATGGCCAACTGCTGATAGGAGTAGAAGTTTAGGAGTTTCATGGTAAATATTATCTCTGCAGTACTGTGTCAAAATCTTTTCAAAATGTCAGTGGTTTAACTTAATTTGATAGTTTCCTTTCTCATAAATTACTGCTGTGTACTAAAATCTATTTTATTTTCTGGTTGGAACACAGTCTATTATAACTCTTTAAATGTTGAAATGTTAAGGACCACCTACAACTATCTGGGCTGTAGAGTTCTACAGTTTCAAATCTGGGATGATGTTGTTTTTTGTCTCCAAAGGCAGCTTCTCTAATCCACTTTCATTTCTTTGTAGTACCACGACCTGAAGTATTCTTTCTGTTGATTTCTTTGGAATAACCACATTGCTGTTATCTTCTCACCTGTTTCCTTCTGCTTAAAAAGGACAAATGTGTAAGTAAATTAAAGGTACAGAACACTTTCTGCCAATTTTTGTGCTCTGAAGCTCTCATTTGTCCCAGCAGCACTACATCTTGCCAACAAAACAATACCATAATTAGTGACTGGATCAACATGAATCCGAAAGTCATATATATCAAAATGATAAGTTCAGAACAAATGTGAGCTGCCCAAAAGCTTAGATCATTTCATTTACTTATAAGCAGCATCCCAGCTCTGAATGTTCTGGAAAGATAAAATCTGAATTGAAATCAAACATCAATCAAATCTGTAAATACAAAACACAGCTAAAAGAGTTGAACAGATTTATTATTAGAATTTTACCACCAAGACTGATGGCTCATTGTCAGAAGTACGTGTTTCAGCATCCAACTACAGATTCTTAGATAACAGCATTCTCTAGAAAACAGTCACAGTGGAAGACTGTACTCCTGAAAGCTCTGTTAGCTTTCTGGATTCCCATTTCTGGAGCCTTCTGCACAAAGGAAACCATCAAAGGAGAAATTCATACCAGGGCAATTACATGAGACAGAGGCTTAAATGAGGCAGGAATAAGGAATTCATAAAGCCAAGTTCTGTTCTCAGTGGTTTGTGATTGTTGAAACTGTCAGGGAATCTGCACGGATAAGAAATGTTTTTGACCCAGAGCATATTTCTCTTGGATATCATCACTGATGATGTTGGGCATAGTTGGTAGAATGATTCAGTTTTCACAAGTTCAGCAAAGGACTCCTTATGTTCATGATGTGCAGAAGTCTCCCTGAGCTCTTTAGGAGGATAAAATACATTATTATGTTACAGTCTTAGCAATATAAACCTTATTGTACCTGCAAGTACTCATTCATGCAAGCTGTCAAAGATAAGCTTGAATATCTGCTTCAGTTTAATGATTCAATTCTTGAATTAGTCATCCTGTTTTAATATACTGAAATGTTGAGCAGTATTTTCAGTGGATTTACTGGAATGGCAAGGGGAAGATTTTTTCAAAATTTTAAACAAAAATGTTGAAGTTTGAAAGAGAATACTAATACCAGATGTCAAAAAATTCAAATCTCAAATGCAATTTTTTTTTCTTGTTTTCATGAGAAAGAAAGCAGAACCTACATCCTGGAAGGCTTTTAAATGCTTTCAAACATAAAAGAGAAGTGAAATCTTCAAAAAGAATTCTGTAGTTGGTCTCATCTCTTTAAGTACAGTCCTGTCTGCTGTGGCAGCATGTTTACTGTTGTCTGTAGAAATCTCATGCAGATTTTTAGAGGTGTCCTGTAAATTTGCATTAAAACTAATCTAGGCTCAGAAATTTTTAACAAAATATTCTTATCATTCTATTGGAAGTAAGATTGCCATCTTGCAAATAACGTTATGGTTGCTTATTCTCAAGCTGTGAAATGTTCTTTTGCTGTACAGGAGCCACTATGTCCCGTGCATTTTTCAGTGCCACAGCAGTTGAGTCTTCAGTAATAATACCCAGAAAAAAATTAGGATTGTTGTATATTCATTTTATTAACTTGAATGTCTGCCCATTCTGATATGCCATAAGATGCAAATCTGTCAAGACCTAATAAAAAGCCTGAATACTACAAAACTATGATTTTGTTCATTTTTAATTCTATTTGTTAATTATATGCATAGAAATACATAAGGTCAAGCTTATAGTTCAGCCATACCAGTGTAAAAGTAGAGAATCTGTTTGTTAGTATAGTTTAAGGTGACCATTTTCTGATAATCTAGGAAGAGTAGATTTTTATTTTCAGCAACAACTTATTTTACCAAAGTATAAATTTACAGCAAACTATTTTGTCATGTAGGAATAGGGTAGAGAGATTTTAAAGTTTAGCAGCATCATAACCTATTTTCTGAAAACTGATTGCACTCAAATAACCAAATTCAGAAATATTAATGGTCAAGCAAGTTTTTTTTCCTCAGCTTTTTAGGGCTCTTTGTAATATTGAGGAACTCATGTGTGATTCTATTTGTACATGTGTTCCTAAAGTCACATGCATCTGTTCCCTAAAATTCAGGTCTATGTCAACACCCTTCTGTACAAAAATCTCCTTCTAAGGTAACCTGGAAATTGAAAATTTAGCTTAGTGTGTGCTATTGTGTCTGTCAATCTGTAATTTTATCTTCATTACACTATTTCGTCTTTTCAGTTCGTTTCCTGGATGCTTATGCAGAGTTGTGACAAAGCTGAAGAAAAAAGGTATGAAACATCCATTTTTTTAAATACCTGCTTGATATTTATTAAAATATTAACTTTTTTGACAATAGCAAGTGCTACTCTTCAATTTTGTAGCAGATGTTATGGAAATTAGCAGTGGCTTCTGCAGAAACCTGTGTCTGACTACAAAAAACAGACTGTGAGATTCTGAGTTCACACCTTCAGTCGGAGCAAGGACCCCACTGCGAGGATGTATCTCTGTCAAGGGGATAAAACTCACTTATATTTGCAATGCTGTTCTACAGCATTTCTGTCTGTTTCCTCTCATGCAGTTCAACTCTGAGTAAGTGATTGATTAAAATGTTATTTCCACAGGCCCCACGTCACTTGTTTCAGAACTGACATAGGAATATTCTGGAGCACAGCTACAGGTTACAAGTGTAGAAAGCTTCATTCTGTGGTACTCATTGCAAGGGAAGTTGAAGAACAATGTCAGTTCTTTCCTATTCTCCTTTCACCCTCACTTTTCTGCCTCATGTCATTGTCCTAGGTCTGCAGCACTGCTTCCAAACCAAATATTTCTGACATAAGAGGAGAGTACGCACTCCTTCTGCTTCTGTCACTCTGCCTTGGATAATTTTTGTAAGACATAAAACTGTAGCCATCCTTGAAAGAGTCATGTAGGAGAAGGCAGAGAGGCCTGGCAGAGAGACCTAAACAAGTCAGAGGGCTGGGCAATCACCAACCATGGAAGTTTAACAAATACAGGTGCCGGATTCTGTACTTGGGACAGGGCAACCCTGGATGTATGGACAGACTGGGGAATGAGAAGCTGGAGAGCGGCACTGTGGAAAGAGACCTGGGGGTTCTGCTCAAGTCCAAGGTGGACATCAGTTAGCAGTGCCCTGGCAGCCAGGAGGGCCAACTGTGTCTCAGGGGGCATCAGGCAAAGCATCACCAGCCAGTCGAGGGAGGGGATTGTCCTGCTCTGCTCTGCACTGGGGCAGTTTCAACTCCTGTGTCCTTTGAGTCCTTTCAATGTGGACCTTGAGCCCTGTGTGCAGTTTTGGGAACCACAATATCAGAAGGATATAAACCTATTAGAGAGTGTCCAAAGGAGGGCCATGAAGATAGTGAAGAGGGGAAGCCATACCAGGGGTGACTGAGGTCACTTGGTCTGTTCAGACTGGAGGAGACTGAGGGGAGACCTCATTGTGGTCTACACCTGCCTCACAGGGGGAATTGGAGGGGCAGGAACTGCTCTCTTTTCTCTGCTGACCAGGGAACAGCATAAATCTGTGTCAGAGGAGGTTCAGGTTGGATACTAGAAAAAGTTTCTTCACCTAGACAGTGACTGGGCACTGAACAGGCTCCCCAGTGAAGTGATCATAGCACCAAGCCTGACACAGTTCAAAAAGTGTTTGAACTACACTGTCGGGCCCATGGCATGATTCTTGGGGATGGTCCTGTGCAGGGTCAGGAGATAGACTCAGTAATCCTTTGTTGGGTCCCTTCCAACTCAGTGTATTGTACGATTGTAAGTCTCTTAGAGAAATAAGGTTCTGTAAGTTTGTTTTGTATGACCTACACAAAATAGGGCAAAGACTACTGGTAACAACTCAAGAAAGAGCTATAAAGTTGTCTTCTATGCATTTTAACACATTTACTGTGCATAACTGTGCATATAATTATAGTCCCCTGAATAAAGGAGATGAGCTAGCACTGCTGCACACAGCCAGGGAAAAGCTGGCCTGCCAGGAAAGGGCTGCTGCAATCTATGGACCTCTACAAATGTAGTACCACCCTGTTTAGTCACGCAATTGAAATTGGTCACTATAAAAAAGACTAAGAGCTAATGATAGCAGCAATAAAGAGACAGTGGAGATGACTTGCAATCACACAGAGGAAATGCAAATTTCAGGACGAGGATTATGCGAAGTGGCAGAGTAAGTTCACAGTCACCTTTATTTTAAAAAACCAGTGCTTTTACCACTCCAGTGTGGTAAGAAAGACTTCATGGCATCAATCAAGTACTCCCCAGAGCAGTAATGATTCCCAAATGGAAAAGGGTGAGATGTGCATTGGGTTGGAGAGGATTTTGTTGCTGTCTCACATAGACTGTGAGCACATAAGCAGTTCAGACTGCACAGGTGTTCTGGTAAGCATCAGTTCAGATAGGATTATTTTCCAGTAAATGTAGGTGCTAATTAAAGTATACAACTATTATTTTTTAACAAGTTAAGCCAATAAAAATTACTTTTAGTGTCTAACAAGTTCATAGCTAGAAGATGCAGAAAGACTGAATAGTCTCTTGAAGAAATTATTAGTTATACACTTTTTCTGGCAGGGAAGACTGGGTCTCGTTAAATATTTCAGCAAGGTACATTAATAGTAAGTATTTAATATAATACACAAGGATTTCACATTGTTGACTTGTGTAATCATAAAAGTACAAAGGAAGGCCTCTTAAAAAAATAATCCAAGTCAGCTGCACAGTCAGTTTCATCAAACTTCTGAAGAGTGGAAATTGCATCCTTCCTTCTGGTTTTAAGAGAACTTCTTCATGAAGTGCAGTTTCAGGTACGCAATGGTGAAGAATATTAGTGACATGCAGGCAAGAGCCAGGTGGTTCTGCCACAGGCCCCAGGTACTCGCATCGATGCCTTGACTCTTCAGGTAGTCATCGCCAGTACACACTCTGCAGATAAATACACATGCATTTATAAATGTTGTCAGTCTGGAGCACCTTGGAAGATCCCTAGAAGTTGTAAGTGTGATTTCACGTGTATAGCAGGTCAGGCAAATGCCAACTATGGAACTGGTTTATTTTCTATACGTAAATTCATTTGTCTTGTAGCTCCAGTTTCCTATAGGAAGCTGAAATGGATTTTGTGAGGCTGTAAAATTGTAATTTGTGAGCATGTCTTTCAGTAAATGCAGTCTGAAGAAGCATAATGACGGATATTTGCACTCTTATAAATACTAAATATGACAACAGGTAGAATGTTCTATGCAGGCAGAATGCAAAAATCCAGTCAAAGCATCATCTTCTCTAAAAAACTCACAGATTCTGCTGGTCATCAGTGTGCATCTCTGATGCTCAGACTAATACTCTAAGACTTTTGAAGTTACTGATGGTGGGATTCGTTTCAATGAACCAAAATACTTACATTGGGCTCATCTGTCGATAGCTACTGTCGCTGCTTAAAACTGTGTTGTTAATGCTGCCACAGAAGTTCAGACCCTTCAATTCATTGATTTGTAAAGCCTTTTAAAATAAAGGAAACAATGACAACAGAAATCAGCAGGCAAAGGAATGATACATTACTGAGACGAGATATAACGCAATTAAAATTTATTCTAAAAATGTGATGGTATCACTATTATGTTGGCCAGATTTTCATTTTTTTAAGCTGAACAGCACTGTTCTTTTAAGAAAGGAATGTATGCAGCCCACACCCTGCTAAGCATGCACAACAGCAGGCTTCACCACCTCCCCCAGGATAGACTATTTCTGCACCTGCATAATAAAGCCCAAATCACCCTAGCTTACATTCTCAAAAATGAGGAAAAAAGCTTTATCTTGACAAGTTTTTGTCAAGATGGAAAAGAGAGACTGATGGAAAAGAGAAGAATTTAATTTCTTTAATTTCTTTTTTTTTTTTTAGTGATAACGGTCTTTATTTTGTATCATTTTTGTCCAGCTGCATTTCATTGGGTGTAGTTGTTCAGTTGCTCTCTCATATGAGGTGTTTCTAGGTAGCAGAAATGAGCTCTTCTAGACAGCAGTGGGTGCTGGTTGATGAGAAGCCTTTCTTGTTTCAAGATACTTGTTTCAAGGTTGCTGTACTTACGTAGCTTCATTTTGCTCACTGGACCATAAGGTTTGATTTCTTTACCATGAGTAAAAACATTCCTTTCTACCTAACCTTTTCCAAGTCTGTACACAGGAAAAAAATAGCACTTACTGTCAATCCGTATCGAGGGATGCTAAAGTATTTGAGCCAGGAGAGCCAGGGCAGGACACTTGTGAGATTGACCAGCAACCCAGAGAAAAGCTAGAGACAAGAATTACAAAAAAGCCACAACAACAAAAAAAGCAAATTACAAATTACATACTGTTATCATGTGTTCTTCTCTAGCTCTTGACCCTGCTTCTTCAGATAAAAAATCAGTGGGAAAGCATTTCTAGAGGAAAAAAATCTTCCAGTGGAGAGGGAAGGAATCATTTCTGTTAATCAGCTTTTAGCTATAACCCCAGGTCCTTCTCCCAAAATAGGTTAACAGGGAGGGCTTTACCCTGTGCATTAAACCCATCTGCTTCCTGGCACGGGGTCCCACATGGGTTTGCATGAACTGTCTGCTGTTCCTCAGGGTGTGCACCGGGTTTTCCCTGCATGCCCTGTGAACGCTGGCTGTGGGTTCGGGGCTGCCTCATTGTTTACGGTGCCTGTCTCCCAGCTGGAGCTGTTTGTGTGTTGCCTGGTTCTAACATGCCCAGCGGGGGGCTCTGCAGCTGCAGAGGACAGCTGGGGTAGTGGTCTCAGAGAGCAGGAGGCTGTGGGTCATGTTCTCAGCCAGACACATTTGTCTTTTGCACAGCTAAGGGTGAAAGAAAAATATGTAGCTATAGGTGGCTTTTCTGCTTTCAAGGCAGTTTGCTGGTTGCCAGAGCCACAATGAAGAGGGCAGAGGAGCCTCTCTCCTTCCCCCTCACACCCAAACCCCCTTTCCCTCCGGTTTTTGTTTTTTTCAAAGGACAAAACAGAATATTCAACCCCATCAGAATACTCAAATCAAACAAATCAGGATATGCAACATGCTCGACTCCAACAGTCTTCCTGCAGAATTCAGCTGAACTCAGTGCTAGCAGGATTTCTAGATTTCAGCATTTCTAGGATTTCAGGATTCGGTCTAGAAAACTGAATAATGCTACTCACAATCATAAAAACAAATGTGATAGTCATGAGTAGGTTTGCTACAGCGACCACGCTCTGTCCTGCTGCAATGGCTAGTGCCATAGAAGTGGCTGTGTAGGACACCATCATAAGGGTAAACATCATTGTAAAGAAGGCTTCTACTGTTGGTTTCAAACCTTAAAGATCAGAACAAGAAGGGTTTCAGTACAATCCTGCCAAAAGCTCTACCATAAGCTGAACACTATCCTGAATTCTGTAGTGTGTCCTGCCTAAAGACTACACTTTGTCTGACAGTGTGGGCTACATCACCAAGACCCAAGACTGCCCCTGGTGCTTGTGACAGCCCATGTGTATGCCCTGACAGTGAAGGACAGGAGGAATAACTAGTAACACTAGAGATGGCAGAACGGGGAGGAGTTAAAAGTGCCATACTCCACACATCCCAAGTGACGGCTTCACCATGGCTTCAAGTTGTCTATGAAAGGAGAAATTTCTAGTGCAATTCCATGAGCAGCAGTTGTACAGAATTTTACTGGTTTCCAGAAGAGACCTCTCCCAAAGGGCCTAGGGGGCATTCGGTGACTGTGGATTTGGCAGCAAGATCTATCTTGCTCCAGTTTCACAGTCGGAGAGCCTCTTGCTGATGTGGCCTTTTTACCTATTCCTTCGGGAAAAAATCTCAGCCAAAGCACACTGTGATGATTTTTAAGTCTTGCTTGTACTTTCAAGCTTTTGGGACATCCCAAAAGGATGTCATCATCTGAAACCTTACTCCAGGAAAATGGATGATGTTTGAATGTGTTTTAAGGTTGTAAAAGTTGGTGCCGGCAACTTTCAAAGTCTGCTCACTGACTAGAAGACATTTCACCAAAAATAACAAGTTGATACTAATTCACACAGTATTAAGATCTTAAACCAAAAATTTGTCTTTTAGGTGTTCTTGCAGGGATTGGAAAAGTATCTTGTACAAGCCATCAGAAGCTTAATATGGCCACAGATGAAAAGGAATAAAATAAACCTATGCAATAATGGTCAAGTCATGCTTCCTTCTAGGGACAGGGGAGAGGAGGTGTCATAGATTCTGTGATGAACACTTAAATCTTTGAAAGTGTTTTTTTTCTGTAGAAAACAACATGGTGTGCTAAAAGCAACTGGCAGTAACCACTGCCATGCTGATGTAGTGCTTTACCCTACATAAATATTTATGTGTACATACACATCTATAAACTACACGTCCCATGTTGATTTATTGAGGGTGTTGGGGGTTGTAATGCAACTGTAGGAGACCATACTTGCCTAACATGAAGTAAACTATGCAGGTGAAGATGATGCTTGGTAGAGTCCTTATGGGTATCAAATCAGCCATTAGCTTTGCGATGAAATACGCAGATGTTCTGTAGTACCCGCTGATATATTCATGTCTGGAACACAGAGATACGTACAGCATATGACAAATGTAATCACTAAAAATCAGTATGGTTATTTTCACATGGAGACAAATGAATTCTAGCTCAAACCAGAAAATAAGACTTTCACAGTTAGGCTGTAATGCAAATGTCCAGTAAGCCAGACAACTGAATGTGGATACTTGTGCACATGGTTTTTAGTAAATATATATTGTGTTATCAAAACAGAGAGGGTAAAAGTTGAAATAATTTTCATTTTTTTATACAGTGTAATATGCATAGCTTTAAAGAATCCAGTTAGATAGTATTTCCTGTTCTCACTAGCAAGTCACAAATTCGTAATCAATACCAAAACTGAATATTCAGGGGATTTTTTTTCCTACTCTGTCAGTGATTTTAAACCCAGCTATCTGCTATCACAGCTACTGTTTGGGGGATTTCCAGACAACTCACACGTTAAAACTCACTCACTCATTTGCAATGAGCACTATCAGTGAAATCATTTCAAAACTCTGCACTAGGTGTACTTAAAGGACAATTAGCTACAGTAGGGCAGACAAACTTGCTTTCTAACAGCACTGCCTGATAACCTGTGTATGCTTTACTTACATAAATATCTTTTTTTCCACAACGAAGAGTTCAATAGCTGAGATGCTGCTGAAACACTGGTTGGTGGTCAGAAAGAACATTGCACCCACTCTACAAAAAGGCAGAACAGCAAGCTGTTACTAAAAATGTGATGTAAATGTAGTGTTTCCACTACTGCATATGTAAATCCAACCGTAGTGCCTGAAGTTTAGCAGTCTGTGACCTCGCATCCCAAATTCCATGACAGAAGGATTGCCTAGAAGTCTGAGTCTGTGACAAGCCTGAATTACAGTGGTACGGTTAGTATTTGCTCTCAGCATGCAAGAATAGTCAGTTCTCTGATGCAGTTTTTCTATATCATTTCCTGACACATTAAAAGTTCTGAGATTGTGAGAGGCATTTGTCTGACGGCAAACTGTGAGGAACTGAGTAAGCAATGTGAGAAGTAGTTTTCACTTTTTCCACTGAAATTTAAGGCACTTCATACCCAATTTGAAACTGGGCCATTTTTAGGTAAATGCTATGAAGTGTTTCAGGACTAACAACCCAGAGGCTTCAGAGTTGTGAAATCATGTGTCAGGTCACGTATATACAGCTGTCAAAATGATATACAGACCAGAATAATTTGAAAATCTAGCTCTAGGTGCACCTTCTGACTTACTGCTGGTAAAATCAAGTTTGTGTGTATATAGAAACAGATGCAAGATTAAAGCTTTTGTTTCCTAGGTTTATGTAGCCAAGTCTGCATATTTTAATCTTTATTCTTTTCATCTTGGGAAAATCTTCGCAGAAAATAAGTTGAAGTCCTGCCATGCTGAATTAAACCTTTTTAATATGATTTTAGCACTGGCACTGGAAAGTGCCGTCCTACAGAAGCATCATCACTCATTTCATTTGGAACTGCTTGTCCAGCTTCCAGCACGGCAGGGCAAAGCTGCATCCCCCTATCAGTTCTGCAGGGACCAAGGAACATCCTCACTTTTGAGTCACTAACACAGGCTTGGCCTTACTTACTGATTTGAAGGGAAGCATTTGCTTTATAAAGCAAATGCTCCACATCAAACTTTTGAACATCCATTACTCAAACTGACTAACCTGTTCTGTAGTCCAGCGGTGTCCTCTTTAAGTCCAAAGAAAAGGGCACCTACAACCAGTCCCAGAAAAGCCGTAACACACACCTAAATGGAAAAAAAAAAAAAAAAAAAGAGGAAAAGTATCGTTCTCATTGCCTCAAAACTTCAGCAGCGTTTTTTTTTCTTAAATATGCAGCAGGCGAGTGTGGATTGACAAGAAGTATTTTCAGAAAGGAGAAAAACTGCCCAAGCTGGGAAGGCGGCCGATGGGGTGTTAGCAACCTGCAGCTCTGCAGTATTGCGAGTCTCCAGCCATGACATCCTCCAAGAAGTGCCTGAGACACAGCAGCTCCCCAGAGCCACCTTCCCGTGGCAGTGGCCAGCTGCTGCTGCCTCTTGTGGTCAAGGCAGCGGGACAGTGAGACAGGAGGGAGGGTATGGAAGCTTCAGCTGCTGCTCTCGCTCTGCCATGATACTTGGCAGGAGGCACAATCCTGCAGTGATATCACGGCTTTTCTGTGACCTCTTGTGGGGCCAGATCTTGTGGACCTGCTCCACGAGTGCTGGGAGGATGTTAATACTAGCAGTGGGAGGAGGAGGATAGCAGAGGCTTGGTAGGGCAGGTTAGAAAGAGGGATCCCCAGCATCACATGGACCTCACCCAAACTCCTTTCCCCAAGAACTGTTTCAGCCATTCTTAGGTGGTGTGATTAAATTAATTAAGTTGATTGCAACATTTCCTCCTCTCTCCCTACTGATAATCTCCACCATTCACTCTCCTTTGGACAGAAAGTCATTCCCCATCTGCTGTCAGTGACAAGGGTCACTTCAGTTCCAGGGCTGACCACAGCTCTGCAGTGCAAGTGCTTCTGTGGGGATTTCTCTGCAACCATCTCAAGGCTACTTTGAGCTGGGCAATCAGTCTTTCCTGACTGCCAGGCTCAGGATGACATTTTATTTTCATGCCCCAGAATGTGTAATTGCCAGGCTCTATCACACATCTTATTCCTGAGCCTTTTTTTAACAAGATACTACAACTGGGCTGTAAATGTGCTGATATTTGCAGTCTGTAACACAATTTAAATAGCAATGATAACACTTGGTTCAGGGATGAATACTGAAGTGTGTGCATCATACTTTCTAAACACTAAATGCAAATGACAAAAATCTCAGGAAAACTGATGGTATCAGGCAGTTCTGTCATCTTTAAGCCCGAGCAATGCATGATTCTTAACACTATAAACCCCTTGATCCATGGTACCCTACCGCTAAGATCCTGCCGAAAGGAGCAAATGTCAGGGATAATTCAGATCCTAAGCCCACTGCAGTGGAAAGCAGGGATCATTTCAAGACCAATTTGGAGCAGATTAATAAAAAAAAGGCTTAACAGGCCGTGTACCACTAAAAGAATGCTGGTCAAATCCATCCCTAATGAGGGCGGGGAGATAGAAAAGATTGTGAGAAACAAGTCAGGACTATTAACCTGGGGGTATTAGGAGATCCTTGAGAGCCTAATGCTTGTCACAAGGTCAAGCTTTTACAAAGCAATTATTAGGGATCTCCATAGTATCAACATACAGACACATACACATATATCAAAGCCTTTTAACCTTGGGGATTCTGCACTCATTTCCCCTCCACACTGGCCATTTTTTCACTCATTATAAAAGCCATGATGAAGACTATTTATACCCCTGGATACAGACCAATTTTTCTGTTGCCTCCTCTAGAACTGCTGAGAAGTGTGAGTTTTTTGGTGGTGCTGTGACTGCAGAGTTTGGCCCATGAATTACAGGATTCCTGAGGATTAGTCATTCTGCAGAGGCCAGCCAGACATTCTTTATTTCTGAAGGCAATGTACAGCTTTGAAGAAGTCAACACTTTCGGTGTTGATTCTCCTGAAAAACGAGCACTTATGGGGCCAGTCATGTAGAACATGCTTGTGTTTTGTGGTGGGTGTTAGACCCCATTGTGGGTCTTTGTCACATCTTATCCAGAAGACATCACCGCCAATATGGACAGCCAAATGACCAAACAGCACGCACATTATGAGACTGCAAAAATATTTTTGCACTTGAGCCAACTGCCAGCACTTCATTTTGTACTGAAGGTTAATTAGGTACGCTAGTGTAGTCTGTTAGCTTTTCCTGGCAGGGGAGAAGACTGGAGGCCAAACCCCACAATACCAAGCCTAGACAATTAAAGTCAAGTTTGCAGAATATTCATGAGCAAATACAAGACACTACTTGGGACATAATGTGCTCCTGGCCAGGAGCAGCAGAATATCCTGCTGGGAAAGATTTTGCCTCCTAAAGCCTTTTAGTAGTCCAAAATTAATTACTGAACAGTCCTGCATGCTTCTGATTTGGGAGCATTCAAGACACGTTCTATGGAATTAGATTCCCGGACCTAGAACACACTTTCTTCAGATGCTTACTACAGTCAAAATATCAAGAGGCAAAACTATCCCAATGACTCATGCAATAATACAGGAGCCAAATAAATTCAACATGTATCACAAAACAATAGATACAAATAGCGTTACCTGAGCTATGGAAGCTTGAGGGTTTCCTATCAGATTTTTAAAAGTGCGCCTGGACACCCATTTCAGCTGATGAAGGAAGGAATTGGCATATGTGATTTGCCGGAAAACTGATTTGGTTTTCTTTTTATTTCCCAAAGAAATATTCTCTAATTGTGCTTTTGTTTCTTGGTAGTAGGTGGAGCCGGAGTATTTTTCTGCTAATTGCTCAGCCAAGGTTTTATCATATTCAATGCGTTCTTCAGTGCTCTCTGCTGAAAAGATTAAAAAGAAACATGACCATGCCTGTAAGGGATGGGAAGGTTGTTTTGGAGTCAAGCCAGGGGAGTTATGTGGGATAGGAGAGCTACTAATGAACCAGAAGAATTAATATGCACATGTAGTTTTCAGTGATTCATTGCCCTCATAGCATACAGTTCAAAAGAGTTGGTGTGAGACCAAACCTCTGTGCTTGTCTGTGCAACCTGACCCACAGGCAGCAGCTTCACAGCAGACTCAGTAGGTAAACCCCTGTCTGCCCGTGAAGCTTCAGCATGACAGCAATAAAGCTTTTAATCAAAAAGTGACCTTTACACCCACTTCTCACCCTTCACTGTTTCTGTAAATGATCTGTTCCACAGATCTGACGAGATAATCCTAGACTTTCCAGACTTTTAAATCCAGGTAATCTTGCATGTGTCTACTTCAGTCATGAAGAAATTTCAGCTGGAACTCCTTTTTTCCTCAACTATAGCCCAATGTGCTTTTTCCAACATCTATTACCAGCTGTAATATTTGTCAGATCCTGAAAAATGCATTTTGTAAAACAGTTGCTTCTTTGGTAAAGATACAGTGAAACTGTGTGTTTTAGGACATAGTATGTTCACAATTTCATGCCCCTTTTCAGTCCTGGGAAAAGAGAGTATGCTATTAATGAGTAGCAGCAGAAAAGGATGAAAAAGCATGCTACTGAACATAGGCAAGATCTAATTTTTTAGTATGGGGATAATTTCTGCCTTACCACAACTTCAGGGAAGCATCAAATGAACACTATCCCTACTATCCAAATGTCCACTATCCCTACCCCCTCTTCCCACCTGGCTCAGAGGAAGGAAAACAGTAATTTCCTAACAGATTAACCATTTCATTAGGTAAAAAATACAAGTCGTAACTGCATCAAATTATGTCCCTAACTGGAATAATTGTCCCAGTTTATCACCTCTGCTTCTGCAAGACTTCAGCTGGTTTGCCTTGAACATGAAAAAAAGCTTTCTCTGTGTTGAGAGTTTCCAAAATACTTTCTTATATTCCCAGACATTATAATTTCAACATAGGAAAATATTCTTGCACCTATAATATCTCATTATTTGAGTGTGACACAAAAGTATGCAGGTCAGTTTATGGGTAGCAGGGACAAAATTACTAAATACCTATTTATGAGAGGCAAACTGTTCTTGCACAGGCAGGAACATTTTATATAGTAGAGCTGCATGTGAATTTGGCACTTATTTCAGGTTGTGCTAATTACTTTCCACACATAAGCAGAAAGGATTTAGGAATAGTGTGCTTGTGGGTTTTTTTCCTTTAAAGCAACATGGATCAGCAGTGCATGACACTCATGCATACAAACAGCCATACACTATACAATGAAGTTATTGGTTGGTTGACACACCTGTGAATGTTGTTTTGGGCACCTCCTGGCAAAATACACGTTGTGATAATTTGACTCAGCTCTGCATTTCATACCTTTGTTAATCTCATCAATCTTGTTCATCGCCACAGCGGTGGAGTCTCCGTTGATGACGTCCAGGAAGAAGTCGGCAGGGTTGTTGTAGGGCTCGCACTGGTAGCCTGTGGTGACAGAAGTACAAGGCCTGAGTGATGGCTGTGTGACTGGACAAAGGCTGTCAAGAACACAGCCACACACTGTGCCCACTGAGCAGCCAGCACCATGGGCAGGGCAGGCTTCAGAAGGTCTGTGCTTTGCCAAGGGATGAATGGCACTGCCAGGCAGCTCCATCAGTGAAAGCAAGGTGACAGCTGGCAATGTGCCTTCCCAGCCCTAGCGTAGGCTTTGGCTAGGTAAGATGCACCCAGGAACAGTTCATTAGAGGTCAGCCCTGTCATCCAAACCTACATGTGGGTTAAGAGGAGAAACTACCAGAGAAATGCTTAGCCTGTTAAAACCCTGGGCTTGCTGATACATGCTGTGGCCAACTCTAGCCCAGAGCTACTGGCATTTTATTCAAGTTAGTGCAAACTAAAGGTGTTGCTGCAAAAGTTGTGCTCACCAATGGACTGGAAGTAGCCAATGGCGTGCTGGGCTGGCCCATGGTACAGCACTCTCCCTGCAGCCAGCAGTGTCAGGTTGTCAAATAGTCGGAATATGGAGTACCGAGGCTGGTGGATGGAGAAGATTATCGTTTTTCCTTGTTTCGACATCCTGAATGTGAAGAACAACACAGATGTTAGCTTTGCAAGTCAATTCAGCCTTTAGATAAGAGAATTCAAAAGTTCAGTTAAGCCTTAGTGAAGTCTGATTAACTTGGAATGCCAGATTGGGGAGGAGGAAGGAAAAAAAAAAAGGGAAAAAGAAAATATTCAAACCACATTTATAGTGCCCATCTGAGAAAAGAATTCTCACTTTGGAGAGAGAGAGAATTCATAGAGCCTTTTTCCCATCCCTTTTGCAAACTTGGCTCGCTGGTAAACAATATGATTTCCCTATTTGCTCATTCTAACTGTGATTTCAGTAAAATACAACACAAGTATAGCAGAGTGGAGTGCTGAAAATAGGAAGCTGTTTCCAAGGCCATCACCTTTTCAGTAGCAGCAGAACAGCATTAGCAGTGCTTGCATCAAGTCCAGTAGTTGGCTCATCCAAAAACAAGATGGCAGGATCCGTGATGAGCTCCATCCCAATATTGGTCCTCTTCCGCTCTCCTCCAGACACCCCACGCGTGAACTGGGTGCCAACCTGCCCCAAACAAGAAACTCTGGACTGATGAAAAATCCTTGAGTGAACAGCATCCTACCCACACAGCACTATTTGCAAAGAGTTATAAGAAATTTTAGCTCTATTCTCAAGAACAGATGTGTTATCTCACACATAGACTTGTTTAGTATTACTTGAGGTGTTCTCTTTTTCTCCAAACACAGACTACCACTCCCTTTCCCTGCAATGTAGTAGCATAGAGCAGCATTAGCACAGTCTGTGCAGATCCCCATAGAGAAATGCTATTAATTATTGTATTACTGAAACAGACTGTTGAAATTAACCTTTTTTTAATCTGCCATGTTGAGCCATTTGGCTCAATTAATAAATCACTTAATATTTAGTTATGATTTAAGCACCTTATTTACATGCCTTACCTTGGAATCTGCCACTTTGCTCAAACCCAGTTCCTTGATGATCTGATTCACTCGTTCTTTTTTTTCTTTTTCCTTCACTGACTTTGGCAAGCGAAGTGCTGCTGAGAACGTCAGATTTTCTCTTACAGTCAGGGTTCCCATCACCACATCATCCTTCATTAAAAAAAAAAAAAAAAGGTAGATGCTTGGTGGTTGCTTAGCAATTTCTATTTATTCCTCCTAGAACTGCATTTACCTATGTTTTGTGCTGTCCTTGCATGCAGAGGGACAGTAGCAATGGCCAGAGCATGTGATAAGGTGCATCTTCAATGTCTGTGTCACAGCAATTTTGATTCAGTGCACTTCATTGTATTTGACTTAATTCATAAAGCAACGCAATATAGGAACATCCTTCATCATGAATGATTATCAGAATCCATAAATAGCAAAGTAATTAAAAACTATCCCTTATATCTTTTTACCGTATGCAGTTTTTTGGAGGTTTTGAGGGAGAGACTGAAGGGCTGAAGGGATCTAAGGAGCAGCTACAGCTCATGTCACCACATGTGTGTTTGTTGCGGCAGCCCCAGCCCACCACAGGTGAGAGCAGTGAGAAAAGAAGGAATGAAAAGAGAGGTTGTGTCCATGTGGGTGAGGGCAAAGATATTCCAAACTTGTTTCAGCAAAGGAGGAAGGAGGGTAGGTTTTTTAGATATTATCTGCTTGTCTCTTGCAAAGGGAATCTGTTAGGTGTAGGAGTTCAGGGTTACGTATGTTTTCTTTCAGTAACATGCTGACCATGCTTTTATAATTTTCACAGATGCACCTCTTCAGGCCTTGATAGACTTGCAAGCCTGCTGCCGAGCACGAGAAATGGGGAGGGGGAAGAAATGAATAGAGGCATGTGGTTTTCCTTCTTTTGTCCTTCTTCCCAGCCCACCCTGGCAGAATAAAGGTTTTCTCAGAATGGGAGTTAGTGACATTGTCACTGGGCAAGTGGAGGTGCCAGCTGCAAATTAGCAGAAAACATCATACTTGGAAAATACTCCATGCGTATTGGTGGCTTACAGCTGTTCCCCCAAATGGAGAACCAGAAGGGATCCAGATCCAAAGCATCTGCTCCCATAGACTGTACAGCATTAAGGGAAGAGACTCAAATACAAGGCACAGTATTTTTTCTAGCAAGAGTAGATGTGTGGGGAGTTGCTACAGCAACAGCTCTGCTTCTTGGATCAAGGCAAGGTACTTGGAACACAGCAGCAACTTTTTACAATAGAATCCATACAGTGATAAAAATTGCCTACCTGTACGACGTACCCAGAGGCACATTTAAAGTTGGCAGGCTGAGGAGCTCCATTGATCAAAATGTCACCAGAAAGCCCATGGGGATCCTTCCTTGCAGCCAAAATGTCAAGTAGCCTAGAGGAAAAGTTAGTTTCTGAGTCACAAACCCAGTTCATGGAACAAGCAACTACCTAAAAGCATGCCATTTAGAAAACCCCCAGCAACTTTGAAGGACTGAGTTTCTTTTGTCCTGGTTTCCTAAGGAAATGAGATCTGTGCAATTTTATGTCCATTTTTTCAAGAACCTGAGCTTTACTTAAAATGATGCATAAAGATTGTGTTATCAGCAAAGTCTGAACTAAAACTTAATTTCATCTTTGTCATAAACCTGTCTTCTTCAAATTCAAGTAATTCTCAGAAACAGGTGAGATTTGCACAGACCTAAAATAAAACCATTATCTTTCTCTGAGAGTACTGTCCATTATTGCTAAATATGTGCAGTTTCTCTTTGGTGTAATCTCTGTGTACAACAAAGGGGGCACTTACGAAGATTTACCACTGCCAGTGGGTCCCAAAATTGCATTCAGTCCAGGTCTCATGATGCCACTGTAAGACAAAACAGATTTACAAAACAAATAGGAGTGGGTTTATCTCTTTTTACTGCTTCAACTGGTAGGCTGGGTAACTTATCTGTACAACTACTTTCTGCATCCCATTAATTTTGGAATTAATGAAGCTGCCTGATCATAAGCAATGTTTATGATCAATCAAACTCCACCTTAATTTTTATTACTAATTCAAGAAGAACAAATCTTCATATAATGAAGACAATACAGAAACATGAGTAAAATGTAACAAAATCTGTACATATATTTTTACCCCGTGGACCTCCACAAGTGAAGCACACTCTTGCTTTAACCATATTCAGTTCTAAAGGTATTATTCTCTTAACACAGAGAATAATGGTCCCTGTAGACAGGTCTTTATTTAAACTGCAGTTGACAGTTTCCCTGTATCTGACATTAAGCCACATGAAACTCAAAAGCCAGATAGAAAATGTTGCAAATGACCAGTATCAGTCAATTGAGTTACCACGATGTATGCCTCTCGAGGAAATTAGGAAAGACCCTAATAGCTCATGTTTAGCAGGTGTGGAAATTACACAGAGAAAGAGCAGAACAGACAGAGCAACACAAAAGGGTGAATATTTATGATAGAAATTGGAGTTAGGGAGCTGAAGGTCACAGGTGACTTGGAATGGCATATTGTATAAGCACTTGCCACTTAGTTTAACTACTGAACTGTGAATAGGCAAACTTTATGCATCGATTATTGAACAAAGGCCCAAATGACATGATTCCTTTACTACAGTAGTGCTCAATGTTGGGGGGGGAAAAAAAAAAAACCAACAAAAAACACCAAAAAAACCCCAGAAAAAATCTCTTTTTAAAATTAACACAACCCTCGTTTATATTACTGTCTTACAAGTTTTAAGTTAAATTCCCCAAGATTAACCTTTCCAAAGGCCACCTTAGGGAAGGAGACACAACCATTGATGGCAGGCTGTTGGTATCTCAGTTAAACACCACAGCACAGTGGGAGAATTGCCAAGTACTGCAGAATGACTAGAGCTGATTGGTGTGGCCCTGTGCTGATAGCAGCCAGGAGGGCTGTACCCCCAGGGCCCAGGGAAATGATGCCCAGCAGTATGAGCTCCCTGATGTATAGGCTCAGCACTAGAGACTGAGGACCGCTGGAGCCTAGAAGGAAGCTTAAGCACAGCTGATAGCAAACATGAACATACACTTTCTCTAAATCTTGGTCAAATTTTGTATTTTGTGCTTAATGGCTCAGTGATGTGAGAGGACTCAACTGTCCAGACAGAAATAAAACATGCACATACTCTACAGAGATGTTTGAATACGTACTTGACATCTCTCAAAACTTCTTTAGTGGCTGTTTTTCGACAGCACACGAACCCAGTCTTCGTCTTCACATGGTAGCAGATGTTGTGGAAAGTGAGCACGCTCCCTGCCTTGCCAGCTAGGTCTGGTGAGGACGGCCTTCTGCTGGGGATGCCATTTGTATTCGAGTCTGACATCTGAATGCACAGGTGCGGCTGGTCTTCTGCCATCCTTCCTCTGGAAATGGAAAAACAGGTAGGGTAAGATTTGATTAGGTACGGAGAGGAAAGATGCGTCTTTTGGGACCAGTGCGCGACACCGAACCTATGGTGGGCCTTTCACATGCCCATCTAGGTCTCTCTCTTCTGGATAGAAAGTTTGGGGCCTGGGGGCTCAGACCTTGAGATGACGTGGAGCTGATGAGGAGCTGGGTTTGCCCTATTGTTTCACACCTCATGCAGTGTTAGGGAGATAGAAGAGTCTCCCTCCAACCTGATGGTCTCTTGTAGCGGCTTGACCTTGGCTGGCCACCAGCTGCCCACCGAGGTGAATGTCTGCTCAGGCACCTGGACCACCTAATCCCACTCTTCCCTCACTGTCCTTGGTGTCTGTGCAGCTGTTTCTCCCATATTTTCTCACTCCCCTCTCACAGTTGCTGAACAACATCTTTTAACCTTTCTTACACAGAGAGGCTTTACTAGCATCAGTGACGTGCTCAGCTTTGCCAGCGGTGGGTCTACTGGCACCAGCTGGAGGTGGCTGTGTCTGGCAAGGGCAGCCTCACGTTCTTTCTCACAGAAGCCTCCCCTCCCCAGTACCCTTCCTGCAGCAGCACCCGGCCACAGCCACCAGCTGTGTCTGTTCTCCAGGTATGAGGAAGTAGGTACATCTCACAGTGCCACTAGCACAACATTCTGCTCTTTCTGGAGTACTGCCCCTGGCAGAAAGGTCTGTACTTAAACTGCACCCTTGCTGGAAACCATGGATACAATGGGTGACTCACCAAAAGATCTGCTCAAAATTAGTAAGGTCCAAAAGGACCTGGTCTTCTGCCCATCCTCTTTTTGAATGTGCTTAGAGTTGGCCCATTAGGTACTCTTTTAAAGGGACAGTTTGAAAGTAAAGACATACCTCCTACCTCTAGTGCTCCAGTGCAACAGTAACAAAATCTAAAAATTGCTGGGTTATTTTTTTAATCAAAATAATTTTGCCAAGGCTATAGGAACATGGAAAATGACACTGCTGCGAAGTAACTCCAAGTAATTCCCTTCCTTGGATTTGATTTCCACGTGAAAAATAGAAAGCATCTGTGGGATAATTAAAGTTATCTCACCTCCCTTGTCAGCAGGCTCCTGCCTGTGAGCCATCCACGTGCACCGTGGGGCATCCCTGGCTGTCCCCGTGCACGCAGACCTTTGTCCCCTTTGTGCTTCCTAAGAAGCACAGCGTCATTCAGGTAAGAGGTAGGATCTGGCCTCTCTTTATATACCATGTTGACATCAGAGTCTAATTACTTTAATTGCCACTGTAGGAAATGTTAGTAATGACCTAGCTGAGCTGGGAATTGAGAGGGTAGATGAGAAGCTAGGAGCTCTGGAATGATCAGTCCCGTACCTCAGCATATGTACACCGCTTATAGCAAGAAAGAAAGCAAATTATGAGACCATTTCAGACATGCTGAATGAATTTGATGGCAGTTAATAAAAAATTAAAAAAAAAAAAAAAAGCTGTTTAATCTAACAGAGTCATATGGTCACATAACAAACCAAGCCCTTATCTTGTCAGTTTGCTAAGGTTGCCCGGCAGACAGATGAACTCAGTTGAACTCTCCTTTGTGGCTATCAACACAATGAACCCACTGGAAGGCCTATGTTCAGCAGGAGGCCTATCTGCATGTAAAGGCTGGTTCATCTGTCTCCCAGTGATGCTACCCAAAATCTAGCCCAAGCTTGCCTCTTCTGACAAAGCCACAGTTTTCTGTGCTGGTCTTAATGCTTTAGTAATCTCACATCTTGGCCCAGCGCAAAGAAACTGTGTTGCAAAAATTATTATAATGGGACTAGCTTTAATTTTAGCTAAAATGGATTTTGAGTGAGTTGAACATCAATTAAATGTGCAACAATTAAAGTCTAGAGGCCTTTTACTGATAAACTCTCTGCACTCTACTTGTACCAGAGAAGACTTACCTACCTGCATCAGGGCAGCTAATTTCATATGGTTATTTATAGACTAATTTCTGGGCTAATCTGACTGGACATCAATCATTACCATTTGAAAGGTAACTTAGAGATGTGTGTTCAGACCTGCAGTGGAAACTTTTCACTTAGAGGCTCACCATGCACTGAGCAGACGTTTGCTGAGCAAGGCGCCAACCCCAGAGTCAACAACACAGGTAGATATTACAAAATCCCTCGGATTGCTGGATAACCAGGAAACACAACAAGAGTACAGAATTCTTGAGGAATGTGTGACTCTGACCTTGATATATCACTGTATCTATAAGGTATCTAGATCAGTTTGTTGCTTGATCACATTTTTTTCTCAGCTTTACTCATGTAATGTTATGAATAAACGGGGAAGAGTGAGGTGGAGTCTGGCCTCAAGCATTATCAATAGAACAGTTAAATTCTTCTTTCTTTCATTTGGTTTTGCTGAGGTTTTTTCTGAAGACCAGCATAAAAACCTAGCTCAGCACCTGCACTGATATTTCAGAAATGCTTTTAGGAAAACAAACTTTTAAGAATTAAACAGATTCAATCATCTAGACTGAACTAGATATGCCGACAGTATGCACAGAATCAGAAACTGTCCTCATAAATACATGATCACACTGCGTCATTCTTAAGAACAGAGAGTATGTCGAAGTCAAAATTTAATTTACCAATTAAGTTATGACGAGATTGTACACATCCTTGCAAAGATGCGTGCAGAAGCTAAATAAATAAAATACCTATGAGAAGAATCACACCTGTCCACAGCAGAGAGTGGCTGTTTAATAAAACTGTCAGCAGCAAACTTCCAGTTGAGGAAGGCCCAAGCCCACTGATTGCCCAAATCTGCCATAGAAAAACTGTGTTTTGCTATTGTTCCTTAGGAAGCCATTAGCTACTGGCAGCTCTGAGAAGAGGCTGGATTCAAGTCTTGCTGGACCTCTGGTGTAAACTGGCACAGCCTTTCGTGCTACAATGCACTTGTGCTACTTGCAGGGACACGGTGGGGTGCTGTAAGGGGAACACCTGGGAGGTAGATTTATCAAAGTAAACCAAATCTATTTCAGATGTTAGCCTAATACTGAAAATAGCATTTTATACTTCCAGAGCTTCTAGAATTTATTGCACAAAGAAACTGCAGAATAGTCATTCTCTTAAAGACTGGGTGGTTACTTATGTTGTGTGAAATCTCTGAAATCAGCCACTCTCTTCTCAAAGGTGCAGAACCATTGCAAGGTCTCCATCACAGCAGCTCCTGGGGACGGCAGAGTGAGAGAGCTCTAGACATGCTGGTGGGAAGGGGCCTGGGGAAGTCCCCTAACCCAAGTTCTCCCTCTGAGCCGAACTGTCACCAACACAAGATCGGATCAGCTGTGGCTTTGCCTGAGTGATCTGTGGAAACCTCTGAGTGGTGATTTGGATCTCGGCTAACAGTGTACTGGGAGAAGATGACGTGCTAACAGCAGAAATTATGCCCATGTGCTAAAATTAGGCATTTGATTTGCTTTTATTTTTCTGAGACCTGTTTTTCTCTGTGGGGTGAGGAGTTGCAGTGAGATAACCAGTTCAGTATTTTACAATCCAACCTTTCCATTTCCGATCTAGCAATAAACTTCACCAGAGGAATACAGGGACATGCCCCTTTACAGCTAATATAATTGTCAGCTGTTTACAATTGCTCCTTAGGAAGAGAATTTTTAAAATATTACAATTTTTAATTGTTTAATAAACAATGTGCTTAATGTGACATACAGTTGTGAAATATTTTGGTCACAGGATGTGCAGGAAAAAGAAACAAACATGATGAACATTAATCAAATCAATTTCTATGCAAACTAAAATTCTCTGAATGAAGTTTCCTAGATTTCACTGCTAATGGCTTACAAATATTTACTTTGGATCAGAAATGAGATTCAGGAGATTCAATAACAATATGTACTGCCAGCTGTATTCAGAAATATTTGTTAATATGATAATGTGTTTCATAGCCTTATCATATCCACCCTGTGTATAATGAACTTTCTTATCAACAAAATAAAAAATGTATGAACCCTGGGAATTTTACAAATTTCATTTCTTTTGCCATATAGTTCTAAAATATTTTTATATTTGCCACTGATTTCAACATAATTTCAGCTCAGGCCTAATAGAAAATACTTTCCTTCAGAGATATTTACTCTCAGAAAATTTTGTCAGGAGACAAAGGACAGGATATAGAGATATTTTATTAATGGCAAAATGAAACTACTTTATTTAAAATTACCATAAAATCTCTTTGTTCACTGTTTTCATGCACAAAAAATGAAACTCTCAGTACAGTCACTTTCTTGTGTGTTCTTCTGAGACTTGTGAAGGACAAAGTCTCGTTTTTCCTGCATACACAGGGGGCACTAAACAAAAACATCGACCAACAACAAAATGTGCTAGAACGTTCCATTGACTTAAACCCACTTGAACCACAATACCATACGTGGAGTCTTTCAAACAATTTCAGTAAACCTATCTGTATGCCTTAAGATATACTGTCTACATAAAAAGCCAAGTAACATTCATTCCTGCCAGTCTGCCTGCAAAGCTTTTGGCATGGTGGAAACTTGCAGTACAATTAGGAAAAAAAAATTCTAAAAAACAATACTATAGGAGGGGTACTAGAAGTGCATTTTTTAAAATGCAGGTATTTATTCAAAGTATTTTATCTCTTTAAAGTATAAGCACTGAAATTACTTAGAGGAAGAGTTTTAGAGACACAAGCAGCTTTCAGCAGAGTTTTCTAAAGGAAGCTGCCTCAAACCCTTCTTAAAAATGGTGGGTTTTCCTTTTTCCTGGATACTTGAGCACTCCAGAGAAACCACAATTAAGTATACTATTATTTCTCTCATTTTTAATGGGTACAAAGTTTAGTTTTGCAACCTGCTGGCTGAAACAGCACCATATGTGCGCATTTTGGACTTTGGATACATATAAATTCACAGAAGTTCTAAGTATAGCTTTTTTTCCCTCCTTAGTTGTACGCATTTACAGGGACATAGACTGGCCAGAGAACGGGCGTGTGGATGCCAAGAGGGCAGCACAGCCTAGCACAGCCAGCCCGGGACCACAGAGCCCCCTTTCTCAGGAACACGCGTAGGAAATTAAAGCCACTTCAGTAAATAAGGATAATGCCATTCAGGCAATCTGTAAGTTAATTGCCAACCGACTTACGAGGGATTTGTAACCTGCCTTCCATGAAAAGAGCCCTGTGTGTTCGCCGGGGACCGAGCAGGCAGCGCCCTGTGCGTGCAGGCATTTGAGCGCTGTCAGCAGCGTGTTACCATGCACGAGGGAACCCCGACTATGGCAGATCCTGCAAAATAGTCTAACCTTTTTCCCGGCTTTAATTTAAGCCTTGAAGCTCTCCACATCCCCCTCACCCCCATTTATAAAACGTGTTTTCATTGATTTCTTCCCTTCTCGATTAAACCCCCCTGAAGAGCTGGGAGAAGGTAGGCGGCAAGCGCTTCGCTGCGTTTTCCTTGGCTGTTGGAGGAAAACAGCTGCTAAATATAAATTCCATAGCGATGGCAGCGTAAGCAATTTGCGGGCGAGGAAGCAAACCCACTACACCGAACTCAATCTCTCTCAGTAAAAAGGGCTGAACCTCTGCTAGCGACTCACTTACCAGCAGCAGGTCAGGGTCAGCGCCGCCGGGCTGCTGGGGGGGGTGGCAGAAGCGCTGGAAGGAGCGCAGGATCCAGCGGAGAGACGAGCGCGGTGTGTAGGAGCACAGCCCCGACGGCTTGCTCAGCTCGCAGGGCAGGGCAGTCCCACGCGTGTCACCCCATCTGCTGCAGGACGGCTGAAATCCCCGCGCTCCGTCACCCCCGGGGAGTCTCCACCCTCTCCCCGCACGCTGGGGAAGCCAGAGGGCTTTGCCGGGAGGGCAGGGCCAGGAGGAGCCTCAATTTCACCTTTCCTTCTCTTAGCTGAACTAAGTGGTAAGCTGCCCCAACCCAGCTGTGTGGGTAGCGCCGACATTTGAATGAAGTAAAGCATCTCCACCTGCCCGAGGCTCGCAGCGGTAGCCGGGGCTGGCAGAGCTGCCAGGGTGGAATGTCGCAAAAAGCTCAGCTGGTTGCGAAGCCTTCTCCCTCAGTGGGGGAGAACAGAACCCTCCTGTGGACAGGTACTGTGTTTTCCTTCGGTTCCAAATACCTGCAATAGTGCAAAGGCTTTTCTGAGCCCAGCAGAGCGGGGGTTCCACTAGATATGTGAGCGTGTCATTGGTGTCACTGTGGAAGGAACCAAAGCTGAGGCAGCCTTCACTATACAAGGTAGGGGCATTGGTCCCCAGGTGAGGTCACTGGGCAGCGCAGGCCACAGCTTTCCAGGAGCTGTGCTAACATTTGGAGCAGTATCAGTGACGGACACACCACTTCTCCCCTGTGCTCCCTGACACAGTTTTGCTTTCCAGGACAGCAGTAGCTTCTGAGCCCAGTAACCCCAAAGGTGAGGTTTTCCAGGCTCTGGGGGATGCTGAAGGAATTAATTCAGTTCAGTTGGCCAGTGTCCCAGGTACCATCCCACACGAGGGCTCTGCCAGCGCTTTGACAGGAGCACGAGCCCATGCAGTCACAGTCATTCTTCTTGGCAGACAATGCAAAAGAGTACATGTTGCAGACAGTTTCCAGTTAAAATCATGACTGTTATACTCTCTTTTTCCTAGCAGTACTCACTGTTAACTAGTGAACACCAAGGCAGCCTGTAAAAGCTATCAGAGACAGAACACCAAGAGGCCAGATTTAGCTGGTTGAAACCTCGGATAGGAAAGCATTTCATTGTTCAGGAATCTTTCCTTTATCAATAATTTAATAATAATTAAGCCTGTACTCAAGACTGGCACAAGACTTATAAGCATGCCAGCAGCTAGTGAAGACCATTGCATAGTCCCACTAGCATTTGAGAAGGTGCACATGTGACCAAATAGATGCAGAAACACTGTTATCTCATTCAGGGAGCATATTTGCAGCCTGGCCCAGAAACCTCAGCAGACCATTCATAGTGTCAGATTTGGGCTATTCCCAGGCAACTTGGAGCAGGACTCAAAGGTATACCAAGTAAGGTTGCTGACAATAATAAACTGAGAGGAGCTCTTGACTCCTTCAAAAGCAGAGAGGCCCTGCAGAGAGGCCTCGATAAATTAAAGGGCTAGGCAATCACAAACCACCTGAAGTTTAACAAAGATAAGTGCCAGATTCTGCACCTGGGACAGGGCAACCCTGGATGCATAGACAGGCTGGGGAACGAGAGGATGGAGAGCAGCACCGTGGAAAGGGCCCTGGAGGTTCTGGTCAAGGTAAAGTTGGGCATCAATTAGCAGTTCCCTGGCAGCCAGGAGGGCCAACCTTGTCCTGGGGGGCGTCAGGCAAAGCATCACCAGCCAATCGAGGGAGGGGATTGTCCCGCTCTGCTCTGCACTGGTGTGGCCTCACCTTGAATATTGTGGCAGTTTTGGGTGCCACGATATAGGAAAGATATTAAGCCATTAGGGAGTGTCCAAAGGAGGGCAATGAAGATGGTGAAGGGCTTAGAAGAGAAGCCGTATGAGAAGCAGCTGAGGTCACGTGGTCTGTTCAGCCTGGAGAAAAGAAGACTGAGGGGAGACCTCATCAGGATCTGCCAGTTCCTCACGAATGCAAGCAGAGGGACAGGCACCAATCTCTCCTCTTTTGTGACAAGTGTCAGCACCCAAGGAAAGCGTATGAAGCCGTGTCATGAGAACTTTAGTTTGGATATTAGGAAATGGTTCTTCACCCAGAGGGGGATTGGGCACTGGAACAGGCTCCCCAGGGCAGTGGTCACAACACCAGGCCTGACAGAGTTCCAGAATTGTTTGGACGATGCTCTCAGGCACGTGGGTGTGATTCTTGGAGTTGTCCTGCGCAAAGCCAGGAGTTGGATTTCAATGATCCTTATGGGTCCCTTCCAACTCAGAATATTCTGTGATTCTCTGAGTAAGAAAAAACCAAAGCATTTGCACAGGATTCAGTGAGAGGTGGCTGTTGCTCTCAGCATGACTGGCACTCATGCTGAAACAAAACAAACAAAAACAAAAAAGGAGATGAAAAACTATAGTTGTTTTGTTCACACAGGTATTTGCTCTACCGTTAAAACCCAATATGATTTGGGATTTTTTTAAATTGTGGGCACAGGTATCCTTGAGGACATTTCTGAGTGGGTCAATTCCCAGTTGTTCCTGTCTTCAGACATGGAGTAGACTGTCTGAAGGAAAGCCCCAGCTCATGCTTGCATTGGAGTCTGAAACAGTGAGTGAAAGGAATTCAGCCTGTCTTTCTGCAGTTTCGGGAGGTGGCCAGGAGTTATTTAATTTCACTGGGAAGTTTTCGCTCTTAGACACGTGTACTAGTAAGGCTGAAGGGACTGTATTATCTAACCCAGCTACCTGCTGAGATACTGAATGATCTTGTATAAAGATAATACAGAGCTATCTACGTTCAGATTAGTAATAAAAGAAATACAGTGTAGGAACACGATTCCTCAGTGATAAGACTACAGATTTCATCAGAAAAACACAGTGCAGACTTTGGCATCTCATCGGCTTTGCTACTACAGGGTTCCCAGGGGGATCAAGTGAACCCAGGGTTCATGTCCTCCTGCAGGGCTTGAAACCTGTGCCCTCAGAAGTGACTGCAAAACTCAGTAATAAATTCTACTCTAACCAACTATTTTCTATCTTACTGTCTCCAAGGCCATGCCTGCCCCAGGTGCATATTTGTCAGATAAGAATGCATGACAAGTGTTCATAAATTTTTCCTCATCTATCTTCAGACTAACCTATGGCGTATCACAAAGTTACTTGTTAGTAACTGATTAAACATGTTCAACCTTTCACACTTGTGTTTTGTGCTTGCTCAGATGTGTGGCACACCCATATCACACAGCTGACCTTTGCTCAGTTCACAATACATAAAACCTGAGACGTTATACACATCTTAAGAAAGGTATCTCCTTATCAGACAATGCTTCCAAACAGGTTGCATGTCCTGTTTAAATATTAAATCTGGCAGAAGGTCACCACCAGCTGTCCATTAACCGAGACAGAAGCTAGAATCTGTGCAGTTGCCACACCTGCCAAGGTGAGGTCCCTGGGTGTGCCCCTTCTCTGTTTAGAGGTGAACAGGGCTGTGCACCTTCACCCCAGCTCTGCGAGGCAATGTTTAAAAACATAATAAAGATTTATTAGAAAGAGTGGAAGATAACACGTCTTGTTTGAGTAACTGTTTGGAAGACCTGAAGTGAACTCTGAGGAAGGCCTGTGGAGGTTGAATCTAATGTTGCTCAATATGATGCTCACCAGGAATTTTCCTGAGCTGCAGACCAGGCTGGCACAGTACTGTACAGTATTTCCAGCTTGGCACCAGATGCAAATCTCTCAGGAGCCCTTTTGGTCTGTCCCATAAGACATAAAAATAGCATGACACTCCTCTCCCCTGTGAGGCTTAACATTCCCATCAAATGATTTCAACCATTCCCCAGAAAGTAGGACTTAAATCACCATGATGTTAATGTCACACATTTTACTTGAGTAGCAGATTTCCCAGCAGGTTTGCTGCTGCACAGAGTGAGCTGCATTTCAGCCCTACTGAATTCAGGCTTGGTGCTGCACTCCTCTGCAACCCTGCTTTGTCTTACAGGTGTCTTGCCTCTACCTTTCTTTTTAGGCTGAACCTGGCTCACTGAAAAATTTGACATAACTAGGAAAGATCTAAGAGCTCTGTTTCCTATCAGTGAACACAACAGTCCCTAGGGCTGCTACCACCAGCTCCTGCTAACAACAGCTCTCTGTGTCCACCGTTGTACTTTCCCTTCCAGCTCTCTGATTTCTTTGAGACAGCAAGTCCCAGGCAGGGAGTTGAAGCACCACAGTGGCAAGCACTGCACCCACCGTGAAATGTCCTGAACACAAACACGTAGAAGGGCAAAGAAAACTTGATAGATACCCTCAGAGTTTTTACATCCATTCATTGCTGTTCTAACACATACAAGGGACTGACACGTTTCCTTCTCGCTGTTAAATTGCTGTGATCTTGTGCCTGGGCAGATGTGTTGTCGTGGGGGTGTTGCCTGTGCGCAAACAGCAGCAGCAGGGAATTACTGAAGAACAT